ATACCTATCTATATTTTAAATTTCACTCTGTTTTGTAGAAAAATAAGGAATTTGCTGTCATTTAAAGTTTCAGTCAATCAAATTACAGTACACGTGCATGCGCGTGTTCGAAAGATTTTCCGTATAATAACTTCTAGAACTTTATAACATATACCTATATTTCAAATTTCAAAGTATTTTGTAAAAAAAAAAAAATGAAGCTATTGAGATTTTTGATTCAGCCAATCAGAGCGAAGCACTCGTACATGCGCGTGGGCTCATCATAAATTAACAATGCCATTTTGTCTAGACCACTTATATAACTTTATGTTTTGAGTTTAAATTCAATGCATCAAAAAATATAAAAGTTACGTCTATATCAAGTATATCAGTCATTTCACGCATCGCATGCGCACGCACGTCAATCGGATGAGTAGTTTCCGAGATCACTCGTGGACAAAAAAGTACCCAGGAAGAAGAAGAAAAATAGAATAAAACAACACGTTCCCAAACTTCGTTTGGGGAACATAATAAAAAAAGAAATTTATTATGACTTATTCATGGCCCTGATTATAAAAGGGTAGAAAATTTACTGATCTTTGTTCCTTTTATGAATGTGTGAGCTGAATCATCTGAGAAATGAAAAATCTCTCTATAAAAAAAAAGCCGATTCATATCTTCCGGCTTATTAATTTTTCCCATTTATAAATCAGTTTATTCACACATTGATCAATGAAGTATGGATTGAAAGATTGTAAGAACTTCACTGAATTTATATAAAATATTTTGCAAATGTTTCTTTTCTATTCATAACTTTAATTGTACGTTGTAATTCTGTGCTACAGCATTGTGTCTTATTTATAGCGATGTCATCTCAGAAAAGACAAAGAATTATGAAATATAAATACAATGCTTTGTATTGATAATAGAAATATTGTGTGCAAGAAAGTATTCTATTGTAGGCACAAGAGTAGTTGAAGAGTCAAAAGGAGATGGGCGAACATAGCGTGCAGAAAGCCTATAGCTTCAGATATATAAAAATCATGTTCAATTTGTGAATTTAGTTCTCATTAATGAAATTTATGACATCATGATAAACAAAACTTTTCTGAGGAAAATTTTCTCGGCAAAATTTATTCTTTTATTAAAAAAATAATGTGGTATTCGTTGGGTTCGAACCCTAGCAATAAAAATCCTGAGTATCATTTTATTTCGAGACTAGCACGCTAACCACTAAACTACACAAGTCCTGATGAATAGTGGCATTTAAAATTATGTTTCTGATATGACCCTTGACTTAATGGACTTCAAATATTTTTCGAAAAGATGCGAATGTTATGTCATAAAAGTATATTTTTAAGATATCCAAAAAATGTATATTTTTATGCAAACTTTGAGGATTAACTTTCAAAAAAATGGAGCGAAGACCCACTCATATCGAAAAATAGTATTATATTATGAGAAAATGACTCTTTTTGCCCTCTTGAGTGTATGTATAATATTTCACAAGCAAATAATTTCAATCTTTGTGAGATTTTTTGCAAATTGTAGAGATTTTACATAAAGTATATTTTAATGTAAGATGAAATATCAAGGAAAATTTTGTTATAATTGAGATTTAATTTTTTACCTTCATGTTTGTCACACTATAGGCTTTTCGCTCGTCATGTTCACCCATCTTCTTAATAATAAAACTTTTATACAACTTCACATAATCTTTCATCTGATGATATTAAATGCTTCTATCATACAGAGTGTCATAACATGTTATGTGCAGTTATTACGTAAAAACAGGTAACATGTTATGGAAAGCTGAATTAAAACAGTTTTATGATATACCTTAATCTCAAACGTGAAGCTAACATTAAAATGAGCGACAGTATTGATTACCTTGAACTAAAGAAATAACATTATATTTTATGAAATAATTTCATGTCGAAATATCATTTAAAAAACAAAGTGTACAACGAAATTCAGTTGACTTATGAATGGCATTCCTTGCAGTTCTCTCATTACTTACCCCTACGGGTATCCCCGCTACCTAGGATGAAATACTGGATGCTATCAGCTTCTTCACTTTTTTCCGTGCTATAGATGATGTTAAAAAGCTTGCAAGACTTATCATTAGAATTGTACAATATAGATACACAACCACTTGCTCGCAGGCAGTGAAAACAGCAATGATTTAGCTCGTCCGAAAAACCCGACCAAATTGCTAGTGAAGACTCAACAAGATCTTGTCTTGATCTTAAAAGATGTATGTAATTTTTATCTGAAAAAAAATCTTGAGAATTAAACATCTAATAAATCCTGAGATGTATAAGTGATCACACAACGCTGAATAAACACTATAAACAAAATGTTTTTAATGTAATCCATCTACTTTTTGATTTTTTTTCATAGGATTGTCTCCTACTTACTTGCTCCTGCAACTGTTAACATTCCTGGGTAAAGATAACAGTATGAAAAGATGAGTAAAAGACTTATAAATTGCATAATCTTTTCCTTCTGCCTGAGCATTAATTATCGGCTAATACACGTGTATATATATAGATATTCTGATTCAATAATGAGTTATTTCAGTTCTTTGCGCTGAAGTTGAAAATCAAACCATGAAAGCTGCCCTCAGTGTTCTGAAGATGTAGCGCTAAAAAACGACTAACCACAACTCAGATAACTCTTTTATCACACGAAAAACGATTTTTCATTCAAGCCTTTCAGGGGAATATGAAACTTTTATCTTGAAAATGAAAGGTTAATAGTGTTTTTAATGAACTTCATACAAAATATTGAAATTACAATTCGTACATTGTGATCTCAAGCATGAGGTCGAAGAAGCTTGTAATTATTATCCCTCAGTAAAGACCCGTGGATCAATACAAATTTCACAGATCACAGCGTAAGCGTCTGTAGCAGAACTGCAAGGAAAAGAAAATTTAAAATATCTATAGATGATACATTTTATTGAGTGACATATACTATACTCAATTAAATAATCAAGATGTTGCAATATTTCTCTCTCTCTCTCTCTCTCTCTCTCTCTCTCTCTCTCTCTCTATATATATATATATATATATATATATTTGGGAGGGCAATCGAATACAGAATTGCCAATTGGATAACCGCAAGACGTTCCGACCGATTAATCAGTTAATTGTACAAAAAGTTCTCGACATATTTAGATACAAGGTCAAAGACTGAATTTTATATAAAGCACTAAAAATGACCAAACGACACGAACAATTAAAAAAATTGTCAAATTTTCGGGACGCCCTGTCCCTTCCTCAGGACAAAGGAAAAAATGTTAAGAAGTCATAAAAACAAAGGAAATATAGAAACAACCCCCCCCCCCAAAAAAAAAAAGAAAACAACAAAAAAACAACAAAAAAACAACAACAACAAAAACAAAAAAACAAAAAAAAAAAAAAAACAAAAAAAAAAATGTCAAAAAAAAAAAAAGAAAAGAAAAAAAGAAAAAAAAAAGAACAACTAGCACTTCTACTAAACTACCAAACACTATATATTTACAATGTTACATGTTTAATTTGAAGTTGATAACCATGTGTAAAAAGAGAAATTCGGACCTTTATGAAATACGTCCGGTCTGTCAGGTGTACTCTGGTGAAGTGCGATTTACATAATTGAACGGATTAATTATCGCTAATTAATTACGACCAAGTAGTAAATCGTACACTGTCTTATTCTCTCAAAATATCGTAACTATACATGATAAAAGAAAGCAAAGAAAGATAAGAAAGATAATAAAGAAGGGAGATTTTAAAATGTGATTTTGGATCTATTATAAATTTAGAAATGTTTTTAGGACTGTTTATCGGATAAAAGAAATAAAAAACAAAAATGTAAGCAAAAAATATGTGTGTGGGTCGTTCCGGAATTGATAATGTGAATTAACTGTAAAGTTTACACTATATGGAGAGAATGTTCTTGTTTGTCACAATCAGGAATTTGATCTAGTTCACGTTCATCCTGGTGAAGTCATTTAGTTTGTTAATGCCATTAGGGTTAAACTTCAGTCTATGCATCCAGAATTTTTCCTTGCTTTTCCTCTGAGCTTTTGTCCATCTAGGATTATGGTCAATAACCAGTACTGTCATGTCCTCCCATTTATGACCTTCAAGGTTGAAATGTTCCCCAACTGGTTCATTCATTTTCTTGGTCTTAATGGTCGAGCGGTGATTAATGATTCTTCTGCGGAGATCTCCCGTTTCCCCAACATACTGCTTTTGACATACTTTGCAGCTGATGAGATATTTGCAGTTAACTGTTTGACAGGACAAGTTCCTTAATATTCTGTACCTGCGACCCGATATTGGGCTGTTAAAACTGTGTCAGAGCTGTGCTTACAGAGAAGACATCTTCTATCAGAACAAGTTTTAAAACCCCCACTGGGTAATGGGTTGTCCAATCTGGTTCTTACTACTATATCCTTCCAGTTCCTAGGGCGCCTATAGGCAGCCAATGGAGGTTCCTTAAAGACCTCAGCTTTTACTTTTGTTGGAGTAAAGAATTGGGAGGTTTTTATAAGAACATCGTTGAGTTCTTTAAGGACAGGATGGTATGTGGTTACCAGTAGAACCCTGCTGCTACTTTTTTTTCTTTGTATTGTAAAAGGTTTTGTCTGTCGTGTCCTGCCATCTCATCAATAGCAGTTTGAACGGTATGGGCTTTGTAGCCTCTCTTGCGTAAGTGGGACTTTAGGAGATTTCTCTCTTCCTGGTATGAAGCAGAGGATGAACAGATGCGGCGGATCCTGGTGGCTAGACCCTTAGGCACATCTTTGAATGTGTGTAGGGGATGACAGCTTGTCGACATGAGATACAGGTGGGAATAAGTGGGTTTCGTGTGTAGATTGAACTCAAATTTGCCATCAATCAGGGTAGATGTAGTATCCAAGAATACTTTTCTGGAGTCGGATATTTCTTCAGTAAATTTAATCGAATGATGGAAGGATTTAGCAAAGGAAACGAATTCCTCGAGTCTGTTGCGGCATCCCATCCACTTCATGGCAAGTTTTCTACATGCAGACGGAGATGTAAATCAATATACTCTGAAATTTTTTCCGTGGGGTGTCCGATGGCGCTAACTATAGGGCGACCTGGCATGCCTTCTTTGTGTATCTTTGAAAGCAGGTAAAATTTTCCTGGTCTACAGTCAATAGGGTTGAGAGTATCATAGACGTTGACACCAATTTCGTTATTTTCAAACATTTCGTCTAGAGTTTTGATGATTGCGGCTGAGAACTCTTTAGTGGGGTCAGAGTCCAGTTTCTTACAGAAGCGTTCATCTGAGAGTTGTCTCTGGGCCTCTGCCATGTACGCCTCTTTATCAAGGACTACTACTGTAGAACCTTTGTCTGCCTTCTTGATCACTATGTCATCCCGATTTTTTAAGGATTGTAAGGCGGATCTCTCTTCCTTACTTAAATTGTCGGGGATCTTGTCTCGCATTGAAAGGAGTTTCTCAATGTCTGACTCAACGGCGTCGATGTACAACTCAAAGGCTCCACATTTGCTTGGTGCAGGTTCCCATGAATTTATTCAAAATCTTCTTTATGAAAAGAAGAAGTCTCTTGCTGTGGCCTTCAATTCAACATTTAGATATATCGACAACGTTTTATCAATTTATAATATTCATTTTCATTCCTACAATGATTCTATATATCACTTTGAACTTAAAATTAAAGATACCACGGAGTCTGAATCATCTGTTTCATATTTGTTCATTTACTAGAAAAAGACGTTAATGGTTACCCAACAACAAAACTGTATGATAAACGTGATGACTGCAACTTTTCTATCGTCAACTTTCCTTATGTAGCAATATACCATTATCACCTGCTTATGGAGTTTATGTCTCCCAGTTGATTCGATGCGCAAGAGCATGCACTACGAACGAAATGTTACTGTTGTACAGTATCCCTGAAGATTCTCCTTCACTGTTGTTAATATTTTAGGGAGGAGTACAGAAAGAGGTTTGGTAGAACATTTACTGGAAACCAGTATGAACCCGTTAAATTAAGGCCAGGACTTTTTTTCTTATTATTACAATTTTTATGCAATTGGCCTATTTGGGTAACATTACAAGTGGTTCTTTAATATAGGCAGTTTAATATGCGTTTTGCGAAGGCCTCATAGCTTGTGGATTAGTAAACCTGAAACGGGGACGTTAGGTTTAACATTCTTTGGTCCCCTGAAACGTGCTGTTGTGCCCTATTTGTATTGCTAGTAAGCTGTGTCTGGAATCTACTGGGAACATGAAAATTATGAGCGGCAATGTTTTGTGTGAGAGTGCAATGTAGCATCGTATGTTGATTACTGCAACGTAAACAGCTATATTGATTGATTGTTTGTTGTTTAACGTCCCTCTCGAGCATTTTTCACTCATATGGAGACGCCACCACTTGCCGGTGGAGAGCTGCAAATTTTGTCCTATACTCGGCACTTACGGCCATTGAGCAGTGAGGGATCTTTTTCGTCCCAGCACCTACTGCGACACGGGACCTCGGTTTATACGGTCTCATCCGAAGGACCGGTCTCCACGTCCCACAGTGGGATTCGAACCCGCGACGTAAGGATCAACTCCTTACTCCGCAACTCTAGAGCAGACGCTCTAACCACTGCGCCACGCGGGCGACCGTAAACAGCTATATAATTTATACATAAAAAGTGAATGGGATTGAGCAGCAGGCATAACGTAAACAGCTATGTCTAACGCAAACAGCTAGAGTGAGTGTACATGCATGGAAACCTTTCACAAGACCCCCTTAAAATTGAAATTTCCTTAGGATGTGGAATTTGCGGAGCTTGCAAGGCATTCTGATTTGCTATCGGAGTCATGTACATTAACCACAGCTCTGAATCTTCTTCCACCCATGATGAGTCCGGATTTTGTGCCTTGCGTAGCCTATATTTTATATATTACTCTTTACGCCAAACTCTCAGGGTATATTCCAGATAATATACTAGTCTTTATTATATGGGTCCCAGGTGTATGTATTATTTATGAGGAAAGATTCAATAGATGTGGCCCGATGGCATCAACACCTGATAATTAAATAATGTCTAGTTCATTGAGTAAGGAAAGCACTCTGACAGGTGAAAGTCAATTAGTACAAAAATATAGATGTACAATAAGGTTTCGGAATTTTAATTTCACCCTAGGGGCAAAGTGCTAGTCGAAAAACGTCGTTTTTCGATAAAAACTTGGTTCCTTGAACACCTCTTACATTTTTCGCCTTAACTCTTTATATTTTGGAATATAATTGTGAGTGCACTGTAGATATGCATTAAGGTTTTTAATTTTTTTTCACGACGGGCGATTGGGGACCAAAAAGTGTAGTTTTTTTTTTTTTTACAGAAACTTGGTTCCCTGAACGGCTCGTACATTTTTAACAGTAGCCATTCAAATTTTGAATATAAATTTGAATGTCATATACATGTAAAACAAGGTTTCAGAATTTAGATCTTCACCTAAAGGATGAATGGGGGGGGGGGGTGTCATAAAGGCGTTTTTTTCTACCGTAACCTGGTTTCCTTAACCCGGTCTTACATTTTTTGTATCAGCAAAATCATCTCCTGGGAGGTGGTTGGTGGTGTCCGGTAGATGTGCAATAAGGCTTTAGAACTCTGATTCACCGTGGGGGCCAAATGGGGGACAAAATAAAAAAAAATTAAATACAAAAACCTGGTTCACTGAACTCATCTATCATTTTTCACAGTAGCCAAATCATATTTCGGAATAAGTCTGGGAGTGTCCTGTAGATGTGAATTTGTGTTTGAAATATCAATCTTCACGCTGGGGACAATTGGGGATCGAAAACGGTTTTTTGTATATTATAGAAATATTGTGGATCTTCCTTTGGTACCCACATATGAAGGTGGGTACATGTAGAAACAAACACCTTCCAGTGCTTATTACTGTCCTATATGTAGAAACAAACACCTTCCTGTGCTTATTACTGTCCTATGACATAATCTTGTATAGAGAAGCCGTTATATTACCATCTTGATTTGTAGATGTTTTCATTTTGAAAAGTTTGGTGAACAATCTCATTGTTTAGAATGGTCCCAATGTCTTCAAACTTGTTATCCTCAGCTGGTTGAATTTCTCTCGTAAGAAATCCGACACTGTTACATCAATAAAGAAATCTTCATCATCAGCATATGATTTTGAATTTGAATTCCCTTGTGAAAAGGAAGTCCAAAATTATTCAATAAAGGTTGAAATAAACTTTTATTTTCATTCATATTAATCGATTCTATTTTTCACCATGATCAGGAGCAAAGGTAATGACTAATAAGAAGAGCATTATAAAACCTTGGTCACCTTGAGAGCTTTCTAGCCTTCTTATTTAAAATTGTTTTACCCTTTTCTAACAATCCACTCTTACACTTCGTCATTTCTTCATTTGCGTGAACTTTTCATTTTGTCTTTTACATTGAAACCCACTTTTTTTGATCTCACATGGGGCATTTTCACTTTTTCAAGTATCGACCTGTAAAAGTTCCTCAGATAAGCAACAAATTGAGCTGATCGGTCTCCAGTTCTTCCTACATGTACGCACCTTTTTTTTCAGACCGACCTTGGGAGTCTAGACTTGAAATCATATTGAAAGTCTTCCCTTTTCCAATATTATTATAATCTTTTACTTATCAAGAACAAGTAAAAGGAAAGGTGTCATTGCTCTTGTTAAGTTACATAACCTATGAAATAGCACTGTAAAAGAGATTCAGCTGGCATCGCTAGACCTTGAAGGAAAATCTATATCAACGTTAACCAGATACAGGAAGTAATATACAATTTATCATTTTTTCTAACTTATAAAACCAGGCAAATCCCAATTCAATTATAGGATATAAAACTAGATTTTGATTAAGCTAAATAAGTTGAGGCATAAGACTTCCCCGTATATGTGTGCGTGTTTTTTCTACTGCCAAAAGAGTCAAAATCTTATGACAAAATCATTTTCGGCGAAAATATATATCAAACGAGCGCATTTCAATTTTTTGAACTTGTCATTAAGATTGATTTTTGTAGTGGTAGGAAAAGCTTTTTTAATGCCTTGAGCATCCATCAGTGAGCAAAAACCTGAGACAAAAATATCTGTTTTATTTATTGATAGGAATACCCATACCCATTGAATGAAAGTTCCCCCTTTTGTTGAAAGATTTATCTTGAATGTATTGTGTATAAGTACATTTCAAATATCTTTTGTTTGCGATTTTCTGCACAAATGGCTACGTTAAATCTATGATTTTATTGCACAATTTTCATCTTTTATTGGAACAAAATATTTTTAAATTATTGGCATTGTCCAAAACTTATATTTGAAAGAAACTTTATATTTGAAAGAATGCAGATGCTGAGTATTAATATGGGGATTTTTTTTCTTTTTCATTTTATTTTGTAAAATGAATTGCTATTTTTTGTTTTTCATCTGTTTATTTCATCCATGTTTGTGGGCAATAACGTGTATATTTATTTGTAGTTTTGTCAGAATATTAAACATCTATGCACAAGGTATATAAAGCAAATTTAAATTGCTATATCTCAAGCATTCTCTTGTTTATTATCACCAATCCTTGGCGAATGAATCACATCATATTTGACAGATCATTGCTGTAGCTTCTGCAGCAGAAACTGAAAAATAAGAATTCAGAAATTTATAGATACTGTATCAGAATACGGTGTATAAAGTTGACACTCAAACTATCAATATTTACAACATTTCCAAGCATTTCTCATAGTCATCAATCCGAACACTGTAAATAACTTTTTATTCGCGAGAATTTTACTTTTGTGTGATTACGCGAAGCAGTCTGCTCGCGAAAATAAAGCTGTCTCGTGTGATTGAAGTATTAAAGACTATGAAGAACAATAATCAGAGTTCGAGAAATTTTTGTCTCGCTCATAAATTCAATATTACTTTCTCGCGAAAATAAGGTGTCGCAGAATTTTTGGTGATCTACAGTACTTGCGTGCACTAAAAGTTATACATTAAATGTAGCCAGTCTTGTTATCCTACGCTCTGAGATAGAAACAGGGAGAAGGAAATCTGATCCTGATTAGGAAAGTAATATACAAATGACACACACTCTAGAAAAATAAATTCATACCAAACTCATTTGAAACTTGCAACGAAATAGATACTGATGAAGGTCCACATATACCACACCATCCCAAACAACCAAAGGAAATCTCCGTTCCGTCCGTCGAGATTTGCAAGTTTCTTATCGCTGTAGCCCATCCACTGACCTTACCCCATGTAACCTAAAGATAAACAAGTATGGTGTATATTAAACAAAAAGAAATAAAATTGGGATTCAGAAAGGAGCTAGCCAAAATCTCTTGAATCTAGCTACAAGGTATAACTAATTCACAAATGCAAATTCACGGAGTGAAAAAAGCATGATTTAAAATTCTATCGTCAATTCCATTTTAGGCCTTT